ACTGAGCCACCCAGGCGCCCTCAATATGGCTTTTAATAAAATGGTAAGTATATTCGATTAATTTTACCGTATTTGCTTTATGTATATTCTTATTTTCTCCTGAACTATCTGAAAACAAGGTACAAATACATGCCAATTCACCCACAAAATACTTCAGCATGCATCCTCTGAAAATAAAGACATTTTAGGGGTGCCTAGGTGGCTTAGTCAGTTGAGTGTCCCACTCTTGGTTTTAGCTCAGGTCATGATCTCAGAGTCCTGAGATGGGGCCCACATCGGGCTCCACAATCAGCGCAGAGTCCACCTGGGATTCCTTCCCTCTTCCTCTCCCACCCTTCTGCCTTCCCCCTGCTCACGTGCACACTCACTCTAAAATAAATAAATGAAAAATAAAATCTTTGAAAATAAAAACATTCTCTTACATAATCACAATACTATTAATGAACATAAGACAATAATATTCACAAAGGGTGGCATTTAACCAAGCCTGAGTATATATACATATTATCTTAATAATAACAATAATTACTTAATACTATCTGCACTGGATTGCTTTTTTCACCATAAGTCTTGAGATGGTTAAGTCATCTACTCCAATTTCTCACCTTGAAAAAGTCCAACAAAGGACAAAAGGTCCAATACCTTACATAAAAGTCCATTCCAGGATTCACAGCTCTATTTAAAAACAAATAAACAAAAATCTCGCAGACTGTTCTATAGTCAGTTTTCCTACAACTTGTACCAACAAGTCCTGGTATCTTCTAGAGCAAGAGTCGGCAAACATTTTCTGTAAAAGGCCAGATAGTAAATATTTTAGGTTTTGTAGGCCATATGGTCTCTGTCACAATTATTCAACTCTGCTGTTGTAGCAAAAGCAACCATACGTGAATGAATATGCATGGCTGTGTTCCAATAAAATTTTATTTACAAAAACAGCCAGTGAGCCTGGACCATAGTTTTCGACCCCTGTCCTAGAGCAATACCAAACGAGTCAGCTTCCTCTTCTACATGGGTGCCCTTTCAGATTTGTAAAAACTACCTTTCTCCCTTGATTATACCAATTACCAAATTTGCAAGCACTGCTTGTATTATTTGCTTTCTAAAAGACCCATCATACCTGATTACCATCTTTTAGAAACACACTAGCTTGTCAAAATCCTCATAAAATGTGATGATACTCATAAATGAACTCCAAATATAGAGTGACCAACACAGAACAGGAATGCTATAATTCCAGTCATTTGGACATTGCAGTCTATTAACATAACTAAAGTCTATGCCAGTAGGAATTTTTTATTTTCTAAACAGAATATAAATTGCAAGCTCATACTAAGTTGTGGTGATCTGATAATTTCAGATCTTTTCCACGTGTATCTCCTTAATGTATAACCAAAACAAAGGATATAAGATGTAATCTTTCAGACTTTTGCCTTGTTGATTTTTGCCTAGTAAGATCATTCTAAAGGGCGCCTGGGTGGCTCAGTTGGTTAAGCAACTGCCTTCGGCTCAGGTCATGATCC